TTTTAAATTAAGGCCACAGATATTTGGCATTATGAACGTTATGACCTCATATGTGGTTTGCCATTAATGCAAATCCTTCCCAATTTGCAAAAGTCCTCTTCTCACCCTGCGTTAGTGTGTATTTTATTTTAGCAGTAGTATGCGTGAGAATGTGGGAAGAGAGATTCGATTATAAACAGTCGCTGGCGGTGCAGTCGAGTTGTAATTTGCTGCCAGGTGTGAAGTGCAGCAGGATTCTGTCTGTGTTGTCGGTCTGCACATGTTGTTAGATGGTGTCCTAGAAGCAGCTGAATAGAGATGAATGTGTGGTGTGATGATTCAGAGGTTTGTTTCTCATGTTTACCTCACAAGAACGCATCAGCGGTTTCTTTTGAATACGATTTTCAGCTGCACTGTTTTAGGGCCGATGAACTAAAGTGTGCCAGGAATATATTGTGATGACAGGTGTTATTGACCTGCTACACGGCTCCTCACACTTCTAACCTTTCTTATCTGCAGCATATGGTTTTGTTTGACTAACTGATGCTCACAGTTGCAAGGTGTTACTTTACCTGCTCAGCGAGCTACTCATTAACGCAGCAGAGACATCACGGGAACACGTTCAGCAAATGTACATGAGGGTACGGATTCTTAAAGTTACCTAACACGCAGACAACAAGGAGCCTGTCTGTAATAGTTTTGCTTCTTGTGATTAGCTGATGAGCCAGAGAGAGACGAAGCGCTTGTATACAGATAAACAGTGAGATTTGTGGGTGAATCTGTGCTGAAATGACTAATTTATTAGACAATTACCAGAAAATAGTCACAAAAAATGTTGATGTATAGATTCATATTTGTACTCATAATGTCAAAATAGAAAAATAATCAACAGGTAATTAAATAATAAGAACAGTTTTTACACTTTACAGCATTAACTACAGCAGCATTTGGTGGTGTAGATGGTGTCTGCAACAAATGAGCGTTTTTATCATAATTAAATTCAGCAGCTTTTATTAGAAATTCATTATTAGGTTTTTTAATAATCAGAAAATGGTAAAATGTGACCCAAGGAAATGTCTTCTGATGTCTTAATTTGTCTGAACAGCAGTCAAAACATGAAGATCTTTAGTTTTAATCAACATAAAACTTCATTTAGAAAACAAATTCTCAGGTTTGAGGAGGTTCCGTTTGAGAACCTTGATATGTAAGCGTAAGAAATGAGTTAATAAATAAAATATTATAAATATAATAAAATAATAAATAAAGTATTTTTCATTTCATTCATTTCATTTCATTCATTAATCAGAAATCAGCTGATTGTTGGCAGCTTGAAGGTTGAAATCTAGTGAAGAAAAGAACATTTAAAGATGAACTAGAAGCTGTTCTGCATTTTTACTTATTTAATTACTGGATTAAATAATTATCAGAATTATTTTTAGTGAACTAATCCGTTCACCAAACACACATGTGAGCACCAACATGTGCTCTCCTGACTTTCTCTAGCAACATTTCCTCAGACATTACGTAATATCTAACCAGTTTTTCTTGTCTCTGTCAACAGGGGATCGTATTTGCTATCCAAGAGGCACAGCTGCTCCTCTCTGTCTTCCAAAGCCTATCTCCACATAGACCCTCCCCGCCATGTTTCGTCTTCATTCCCACTCAGGCACTCCCGCTACGGCTACCCCCACTGTTACCGAGGTCACGCCCTCAGCCGCGGCCACAGCTCCGCCCTGCTCGCCCGCTCTCTACACAGCTCAGGTGTTTGGCTCCAGGATATAAAGCAGGAGGATACTAAGGCCTCACCGGCCGCCACCCAGGATGCTTCTCCGGGAGCTAAAAAGGACTCTGTGGTGGCTGCATCTCAGCCCCAGCCTCCGTCAGCTCCCGCTCCAACGTCCGCCGCCGCTACCACTGCGGCTGCCGTCCCTCCGGTTCAGGAGAGGGCGATCGTGAAAAAGTCTCTGTATCAGAGGATTGTGGATGAACTGAAGCATTACTACAATGGCTTCCGGTTACTCGGCATCGACATCAAGATTGCCGGCAGGATGGTGTGGAGGCTGCTGCACGGACAGCTGCTCACGCGCAGGGAGAGGAGAAGGGTAAGATGGGCTACATGTACATTATTGATCAGTCTGACTAGTTTAAATCTTTTAATCGTAAACCCCCGTAACACCAGTCATTGTCTAATTTAATGCGCAACAGATCTGCCTTCTGTTCTACATGTTGGAAGATTAGTTCAGGTTTTGTTGACATTGTTGTGCACGTGCTCATTTATCAATAATGATGGAGGTGATGTTGATGTACTGGAGTGACGATATTGATCGACATCAGTGGGTTGTATATATAGTTATTTATACAACCCAGTAATAAAAATTACAAATCTGCATCAGGGGAATTTCCAACCTGCACAGCATACAAAGCGGTCTGTCCTTTGACCCTTGATTCAGATAGAGAGAGATAAATAAAGATATGTTTATGTGGCACTTTCCAAAGCAAATGCTACGAAAGGAAAAATATCAGGAAGACATGATTAAAAAAAAAAAGATATAAAAGCAAACAAAATATTACAAAATGCAAGAAGAAGGTTTTTTTGTTTGTTATTTGGAGTAAGGTCATAATACTCTCCCTTAATTTAAAGCTGGTCCTGGGAACATCCAGACAAACACTGGACTCTATAATTTAAAGGTTTACTTCATGCAGACGAGCTAAACGCTACCAAACTACAACCTCAGTAATAAACACATAGTTAAATTAAAACCTCTCTGACGGCGTCACATAAACTGAATGTAATCATCCCTGTGAAGGTAAAATTTATGGCTGAGCTTTTGTGTTGAACTACAGGGTTACCCAATAAAACAACTATTGAGTTCACGTCAGACGAGAACATAAACACTGACGCATAACATTACACCAGACAGAGAACTCCTTTAACTCCATCTAACCAGACGAATACGTTCTAAATCGAGGATATTTTAGCTTTTAAATCAGCATACGTTGAGCTTATAGACTGAGTAAAAACAGAGAGTATCAGGTTTTGGACTGTTAATTGGAGAAAATCGCCAACATCCATCCATCATCTATACACCGCTTAATCCTCACTAGTGTCGCTGGAGTCTATCTCAGCTGACTCAGGCTGAAGGCAGGTTCACCTGGACAGGTAACCAGTCTATCACAGGGCTACACTTAGAGACAGACAACCAAGCACACTCACATTCACACCTACGGACAATTTAGAATCACCAATTAACCTCAGCATGTTTCTGGACTGTGGGAGGATGTCATGAATGTTTTGATCTTTTTGTGCGTATTCAATGACCTAAATGATATGTGTTGATGATGCAGCTAATCCAGAAGTAGTGAGTTTTGAACAACTTTTGTACAAAAAAAACAAAACTCTGGCAGGAACTTTTCAGAAATTTCCATTTAATTGCAGAAGTATAGCTCCTAAATTAGTATTTAATGATCAATAAAACATCAAGCAGGCATCAAATAACTTCCTAATGTCTTTTCTATTCAAGGAAACCCTTAAATCTACCTGTAACAGCTCGTACGCCTGTAGATTGAGCCTAACATGAGGCTCTATACTGTGTTATATCCAGGAGGTGTCATACTGTAGGTTTGTTTCACTACTTCATCTCCAATCAGTTACAACCGGTGCTTTTTTTTTTTTTTTTTTGCCCTGATCTTGTGTTGTCATAAGTGCCCTCCGGTCACAGCAGCAGTCTGTCTGGTTTCTCTTTATTGTTGTTACAAAAGGCTAGACTCCAAAAGTATTCATCCTGGTTCCCCTCCTCCATCAAGTCTCGTTCTCTGGGTTGTTATCAGTAAGTCATTGAGACCTATTTTATGGCCCCAGGGTTCCTTTGAATGTTTTACACCTTCACATGTCGACGAGGAATGTGTACTCTGTGTTCCAGAAGTTGTAACTGTGCAGCAGCAGGTGTGTGGTGCCTTTAATTACTGTTCAGTTTTAAATGCTGCAACATTCCCGGTGTCCATCAGCAGATTAGTCTTTATTTTATGTCAGAAGGAGCTGCAGATAGAAAAGATTGAGGCGTATGACTGCACTGTGTCTTTGTTCTCTGACTAGTCTGGAATGAGGTTAAATTTAATCCGTGGGACTAAATCCTGCCATGAAATACACTCAATTCTTGTACTGTTGTGTGCGACCTACTAAGCATTGATTGTTACACACTAACACCAGGAGCATTTGGGATTTTACGGTGGTATTTAGAGCCCAGTCATAAGTTAAACTAGTCCGGTGACACTAAAATTTGACAGTCTGTTGTATTTTACTAAGTACCACAAAACATCATAGTCTTTTTTTGGCATTAAATGTCCTTAAGTGTGTTTGATGTCATGGAAATGCTATTCTCCACTAACAGCAGCACATAAGAAGCATAATAATGCAAAAATAATGCTGAAAAATACACCAAATTACTGCATAAATTTAGGAAATTTAATGGCTGTAGCAGCCCATATTAATTATTTTAAATGTGATAGAATTTCTTCTTAATTTTATCATGTTTGAGGAGGAAATGTAATCGATTTAACACATTTAAGTTATGAAGATTTTGATTGATTGGGACGAATGTGAGTGTGCTTGGTTGTCTGTCTCTAAGTGTAGCCCTGTGATAGACTGGTTACCTGTCCAGGTGAACCTGCCTTCACCCTGAGTCAGCTGGGATAGACTCCAGCCCCCCATGACCCTAGTGAGGATTAAGTGGTGTATAGATGATGGATGGATGCTCTTAGGTGGACAGACTATATGAAGGACACACTGACATGAATACTGTCACTGATAATATCTGTCTGAGATAATCTCATCCAGGTCATGTTTGTTTATTTATTTTAATTGGGACTTTGCCCTCACCAATATGGATATGTTCCCTCTCTGTCCCAACATTGTTTTACAGAATATCTCTGTATACACAAGAGTGCAAACAGATGCTCCAACAAGCTTATCGGGGCAGTAAAACATCAGAGATACTTCAAACCAAACCAGAGATGACGGTCATGTAGCATCTTTAAATTGCAAATGCTGTGGACTGATTAATATTGGACACAGCAGACGTAAAGGCTTCACATGCTGGTGAAATGTGCAGAAAGCTGTAAACTTGCAGTAGCTACTGTGAACCAAAGACAAACAAACCAGTGTTGTTGTTTTTCAGGCACATGCTCATTACACAAAGCAATGCCAGATCATTATTCCAAACTGTACATTTTGCATGTCCACATGGATACATATAAAGTTTATATTACTCTCAGTAATCACGTCACTTTCCTACGAGATGTTACCCTCAGTGGTTTGTACATACTGGCACTGACTGCGCTGACAGGTTCTGCACATTTTACTTCCAACACATCCAGACAAATTCGAGATAAGCTATCTGCTGCTTCATGGAGACACAGCACTGATAGAGCTTTGAGAAAGGACATACTGTTACCGTGTGTCCCGCTGACTGCTCGACTGTACACACATATGCACACGCAGAGCGTCAAGCTGTGCACATGCCTTGGGAAAACTATATTTGGGCTATTTCAGAATAGGACCAGCAGGCACATGTAATGGATCTTGCAGGCAAACCCTGCTCTCCAGACTCGGGCCCTGTGACATGACACGACCGTCCCCTGTTGTCCACGTTTCGTAACATCAGCATTGTGTTTCTCTGTTGTTTGCAGCTGATGAGGACCTGCGCTGACCTCTTCCGTCTGGTGCCCTTCATGGTGTTCATCATCGTTCCTTTCATGGAGTTCCTCCTGCCGGTCTTCCTCAAACTCTTCCCAGAGATGTTGCCCTCCACCTTCGAGACGGAGTCCAAAAAGGCATGTGTTGGCGTACACACAGACAGACGCACACACCCCGCCGCCTGCGTGACCTTGCGACAGGGTTCACTGCGATTACGTAACCTCTCAGATGTTAGACGGGCAGCTGACTTTATCTAATCGTTGCAGTTTACTTTGGGAGCTGATTCAGATTGGCCTCTGATAGAAACATTCAATGCAGTCGTAGTTTTTAACACATATAAACAGATACTCTGACTTTTAAAGGTGTTAATGTACACTGTGTTCCAACGACTTTACCTGTGAAGACATGTTTTATATTATTCACTTCCTACTATGTTGTCATGCGTGATCTGTTGTACACAGCTTCTCCTGCAGGTGTTCACAGTTACACACTCACATCTGCTCACAGTCCTATAGGACATTATAAGCAACGTGCTAAATGTTTAAAAGTGTTGCCCTGCAGCAAAATGTAATGGCACAAAAAAATACGACATTTACCTTTAGTCTCCTGGAAGATAAAGGAAGCAGCAGACTTCTGCACCGGTACATCCGACCGGTTAACTCTGGTTGTTCTGTGTCACGGCCGACTGGTTCACAGATATGCTCTGGACAGAACAGAGGTGCCGACATAAGAAGAATTACAAAACTAAAACCCCAGCTGTGTCTAAAACTAAATATAAACACTGTCAAAGGCTGTTTATAAGGAATATGTATGATCTGGTTTCATTAGGGTGTAAAAGCCTTTACCTTTAGTTAAACATTTATTCATACCTGACTCTGATGGAAAATGCCTTTTTAGGTTTTCAAACGCGAAAATAAACAAACTTGTCAGTGTTAAACGTTGTCAGGAAAACAGTTGTTAAATGTTACGCGGCTAAAAGAAAAAGCAGCATCTTGAAAACGAGAATGAAAAGTTTCGACTGTAATGTATTAAAAACGAAACTCTGGAATAAACAGTTCAGCCGGTGATGATTGTATTTACATAAAGACGTTGTGGTTGTGTTTGGAGAACGTTTGGAGAATGTTTGGAGACTAACCTGCCTCCTCTGTCCTCTCCGTGCAGGAGGAAAAGCAGAAGAAGGGTCTCGCTGCGAAGCTGGAACTGGCCAAGTTTCTCCAGGAGACCATCGCTGAAATGGCCCGAAGGAATAAAGCGAAGGTTCAGACAGAGGACGAGACGCAGCGCTTCTCCACTTATGTTCAGCAGGTGAGTTACTGCAAAGATAGTGCTTAACACATGGTAAATAGCTCACATTACGATATATTTACCATATGTCTAGTTTAAATGTAGTTTTACTGTTATATTGATGCGGTACGGTTTCTGTTGTGCTGTTTTTAAGATTTGTCTGTTGTTAGCTAAACTTTCAATAGAGAGTGAGAGGAAAAACTTACAAGTGTCTGAGTTGAAATGCTTCAGTTTTGACAAATCAAAGCCCGGCTACGTGACCAATGGTTTCATTGCCTTACGTTAACGCCTCTGGGTCGTTTCCAGGTTCGGGGAACAGGCGAGCAGCCCACCACCAAGGACATCGTCAGGTTTTCGAAGCTGTTTGAGGACGAGCTGACGCTGGAGCACCTTGAGCGCCCCCAGCTGGTGGCTTTGTGCAAACTGCTGGAGCTGCAGCCCATCGGCACAAACAACTTGCTGCGTTTTCAGTTGATGATGCAGCTCAGAACCATCAAGTCGGACGACGAGGTGAGACGGAGGACTGGTGCCTGGTGGGTTTGTTGCTGAGGGACTGTCATAAAGGTCATGGGTGGAAGAGATACACGAAGGTTACGTAACTAAAATTCCATGCTAGTAGTTTGCACGATTTTGTCCAACTTCTGCAGAATATCTTTCACGCAGACACTATAGATGTCACGTCCACACTACTACTGTCATAGGCTAAGATGTACTAGAGTTAAATAGTCCATGACAGGAACCATCAGATGATCCGTTTTTCTGTTTTCATAACAGTCCTTGCTCTCAGCTGCCTCAGCACGTAACAGTAAAGGAGTTTTGGCTAGAAATGAAGGTGACTAAGTGCATTTTACACCTACCTCATTTGGTCCAGACTACTTTGATCCAAACTAAAATAGTGAAATCTCAAACAGCCGATGGAGGGAGGTGGTGTTGGTCCAGCTCAAACTAAACCACGGTTCCATGCATTTCTAGTGTGAAAACATTTTTTTGGACGGTTCAGACTTCAGGACCAATTATAGGAAAATAAAGCAGGCTGTTCAGAATGGCGGGAAAACAGCTGTATGTAGAGGAGGAGGAGACCAAAGTGTTCACTGAAATGTTGTCTGGCAAAGTCGTAAAAAGACAACCGCAAAAAGGTAAAAAATGCAGACGCTCCCCAGGGATTTTTGGAGTGGATGAGAGGATATGAGAGGAAGGGACGGGAAAGCCATCTGAAGATAAAAAGAAAACATAAAACAATAGTTTACGTCGGTGCCCGATGCCGTTAGAAAAAGTGGCGCATTGACTGATGAGAACCTGGAGAGCATTCTGCATTTACAAAACGAACCAAATCAAATGTACACAGTGCAACTAATACGTGAGCCCTGGGTTAGACTATTGGATGTAAAAGGGCATTAAAACTGTGTTAAGTTCCAAGTCTGTCTGTAAAGTGCTTTTGTAAATATTGTAGTGGGATTAATGAAAAGCAATGGCACCCTTACAGGCAGTAAATCTGAAAACTAAGCAGTAAAGCACCCTTAAAGTGAAGATTTGTAGCTAATGGACTCAGAAGAGATTTTAGCCTCGTTTGTTATTGATTACCAGCTCTGGACTGACTTAAATCCCTCTTGATGTGGAAGTGTCATCGTTTTTAATGCTGGTGCAACAGTTTTTTTTTAACCTCCTGTCTCCGTTTCTTCCCAGATGATCGCAGCAGAGGGTGTACCAGCCATGAGTGTGTCCGAGCTGCAGGCGGCGTGTCGTAGTCGTGGGATGAGATCTCTGGGTCTCACCACCGATCAGCTACGTCAGCAGCTGCAGCAGGTGAGCGATTAAGTGTAGCTCGTTATTGCTTGACAGAGAAGAAATATGATTCTCAGTAGCTGAAGTGACAAACCAAAATTAGGTTTAACATTTAACACATGTACAGTAACAGTTGTATTTGTACAGTTATTTTGAACAGACTTTACTGTCTTGTCATTGATCTCGTATAATAAATGTTCTTCTCCTCCAGTGGCTGGACCTGCACCTGAAGGAGAACGTTCCTCCATCGCTGCTGCTGCTCTCCAGAGCCATGTACCTGACAGACCTCAAACCAAAACCCCCCGTCATCCCGCCTGTTCCCAAACTAGAGGTTCGACCTTTACAGTCCACTTACAATCTGACCGGCAGCAGCGCTGCATATGCACTTGAATGTCAGATTAGAGCGAGCTGTACGCCGCTTAACATTCCTGCTGTTAAATAGCCGCTGTGCAGGTCACTGACGCTCGGTACATTCAGTCCCTGCGCTCAGGAGGAAAAACACTTTTTTTTTTCTCTGACCTGCCAGTTCATTAGTAGCAAATTTCAGTAACTGATTGGGGATTTATTTGAAAGAAGCTGGTTGCGTTTGAGATGTTGGTTTTCTTATCAGATGTTTTGTGTTTGTTGTTTTTGCAGAAGACTGCTGCTCCTCCTCCAGCAGAGAACCCAGGAGCAAACACCACCTCAGTCAGTACTGACATGTTGGCGGACCCGGCTCTCATCATCAAAGACAGACCGGTCAGTGCGCTGCAGAAACACTCACACAGAACACACAGCAACAGGATTATGGTCTGTTATTAGTCTCAATAAGTGTGCACATCAAAACCAGGCATGTGCACATGATACAGTTTCCATGAGTGGAAAACCATCCCAGAGGGAGCACAAATTGTCAAGTGTACAAAAAACATTTTGACACTTTGGAGGCAGGAACCGTGCTGAACTCTGGAAAGAGTAAAAGTCCTGCACATTTTTATTGAAGTAAAAGCACAGAAGTACTCACATAAATATACAGTCGTGACTCGATAATCCGACCCTTAACAATCCAAAACCTTGCTATCCGACAGGTTTTTAGGAAAAACGAACAGAACCCATTAAAAACAGCCTTAACAATCCCACAGGTTTGCTATCCGACATGAATGAAGGTTTCACATTGAGTGTACATTTAGTTATCGAGTCACGACTGTATCAATAAAAAGACTGGAAATAGAGACAACATGGCCAACTTGTCTCTGTCTAATGGTAACAAAATCTCTCAAAGCTCACTAATGAATCTTTAGTTTGGTCCATCCATCCATATTTTTTCATTTCCATCTGTTTCCAGTCTGAGCTGCTGCTGCTGCTGCTAGCTTTACTTTACGGATGTATGAGTAGTATCAGTCTTTTCATTTTAGCTCTCAAAACAAACCTTATAAACCGTCAGATTGTCTGAAAGTGTTTTTTTTTGCATGTCTAGAAACAGACCTGTTGCTCTGTGCCCATGAACAGTTTACCTTTTAGGACAGCAACACACATATTCATAAATGCATGCACGAGCAGGTCTAGAGGGACATTTACACCAAAGATCCATAAAGTCTGATTTTATATTCATCTTATTTCTCGTTTCTCTGCCCTGTAGGTGGAGGAGATGAGAGACAAGGCTCCTGTGGTGTCGGACAAACCTCTGACTCCTGCTGAAGTCCTTCAGGTGAGCAGCTGCAGAATCCACTGAAACCAGTATGGGGTTCGGTAATCCAGTTAGCGCTTTGATCTCTTTCACATGATGTTCTAATCTCTCACAGTGGGACGGAGGTAGCTTTCTGGGGAACAGGAACTATTTGAATACAATGGGGACAGAATAGAGACTTCTTGGAAATGTGGTTAGTTTAGATGGATCAAACTGATGATTAGGAACTGGACAGAGGGACCATCACCAACTCAGAAAGCTGCTGGCAAACTAGGAGCTGAACAGCAGCAAGATAATCTGTGTGAGGTTTAAAAATAACTGATAAATATAGACCCGTGACTGACTTCCAAGTGCTCAGCCTGTTATTTGAGGTAATACGACAAGACAGACGCATCCTCGGCATCAGTTGGCCAGATAAAATCCCAAACACCGATGTGCTCCAGCGCGCAGGACTTCCATCCATCTTCACGCTCCTCAGCCAACACCGGCAGAATACCTACAGATCTACTGTACGGCGAGCTGTCAGAAGGCTCTAGACCTCGAGGTCGCCCAAGGCTCCGCTTCAAAGCGCGACATGAAAGCCTCTGGGATCGGCATCCAGTCCTGGGAGACCACTGCTGAGTGAAGAGGTTCCTGGAAAGCCGCTGCTGTGAGCGGGTACAAAACAAGCCGAGATGTCACGCAGTGCCCATCGAAGGCCAAAGAGGGAAACACGCAAGTCTTCCCAACAAGATGGAGAAGCCTCCGTACACATCTGTCGCATCGGCTTGTTGAGCCACGCCAGGAAGTGTGCGAGGGACCGAACACGGTGCATCCCATCGTCTCGCAAACTACAAGACACAAATACACATTTAAAGCCCCTGTGTATTGATTTCTTTATGATATCGTAGCATCTTATAAATTATTCTGACAGCAAGAGCTTCCGTGATGGCCTTGATTCTTAGCTGTCGGATTTTTTTCTTGCTGCTTCATTTCTGCAAGAAGCTACGTTTCAGTTTTCATTAATTATTTCCTCTACAGCAGCAAAACGTGTTCCAGGAGCCTTCACAAGCTCCTGCACATTGAACTAGACTGTCCAAACACTCTGAAAGACTCAATCAGCAGACGACAAAACGCTTTCTAACGTACAGAACGATCCAACGCTTTTTTGTAGAAGACGATAATTGCGCTTGTAAAGTCTCCGTTTAAAAGAAATATCTGAACTCTCCATTGTTCAGGCCACTACAGCATCCGTTCCATTTATTCACCGCACCGACGTCTAACAATGGAAGGATGAACGTCTATTTTCTGACACTTGGCTCTGTATTAGCGAACCCTGTTATGTAACGTCACGTCTCTCGGTTAAATTTAAGCGCTTGCAAAACGATTTCACACTACGCTGATTAAGCCTGTCAGCGGGAGGTAAAGCTCTCTGTATTTTGCGACGTGCCAGAATTTTAAATCCAGTGTCTGCCGACGTTCAGGCTCTGGCGCATCGGTAGCGATGCGTTTCAGCGAGCAGTGATTGACTTGCCAGAGCTGAAGAGGAGAGACGGAGCAGACTGCAGCAACTAAGAGAAACCAAGGAAACATCCCAAAAACGTTTCTGATCCCCCCCCGAAACCCAACATCCACAGGTGACGGGCATAAAAAGACCAGAGTCCAGTCTAAGTTCTTACTGGTGTATCAAGCTTTTTCATTTAGGTGCAACTAAACATGGTGCAGGTAAATGTTTCAGACGTTTAACTTGTTCTTTTTCATAAAGTTGAAAGTTAGCTCTTCTTTGGTTCTAGACACTGCTTCACTGCTGATGTCAGATTTATTGAAGGTGAACTTTCATCTATCCTCCTGATTACAAACTGCTAAACATCAGGCACACCGGTGTGACATATAGGCAACCAAAGGCCAGACGTAATCTCCTAAACATGCATCTACACTGTGTAATTACTCTCACTGCCAGAAGGGGGAGCCAAAGGTTACACAATAATTATACACCATCCACTGACTCATAAACATTTTGTCACATGACAGTATGTGACCCATTTCTGATACAGTACAATGACCAGGCTTAGCAGAGCTCTGACTGTAGAGTATTTTCTCCACATTGAAATGTGCTCGGGCTGCAAGGTGACTCTGTGGTTAGCATATAGATGCGGTTGTACATATTTTAAAAGGTGTTGTTGAACTCAGTTCTCTGATTTCCTCCACAGGCTAAAGCAGCCACAGAGGTGACCCAGAAGAGCAAGATGAGTGCCAACGGTGTTTAAAGTCGACCCTCTGGACTGAAGGGGAGATGGAGTCACCCGGTCCTGTGACCTCAAGGGCAGAGGAGCGATAGACGGCGCTCTACATTTCAGTAGCCGTCGGTAGAAGCTCCTCTCCTGTCCTCGGACCAGCATCTCAACCAGGAGTCCTTCTCCCTCCTCGTCTCTCTCCGTTACCTCCCAGGAAAGTTCTGCTGCCGGTTTCTTACCCTCACATCCATGCACTCCGTTCTCTGTAGCTGTCCTGATACTTCGCTGGACTGGAAGACCACCGGTGTTGTGATTTCTTTGACCTGGAAGCGACGTCCAAAGCGCCCACAGCGGGTCGACTGTCTGTCTGCTGGTTCCTCCCAACGGGCCGGACGCTCTCTTCCTCCTCCTCCTCCTCCTCCCCCTCCCTCTCGTGTACATTTGTAAATATCATGTATATTATTTGTCTGTCTTACATCACAGAAGCAGCAGCGTTGTACAGTTTGCTATTTGCAGGCCAGGTTTTTCTCTCTTAGCGCTTTTACATAGTTTTATTTGCAGATGTTTTTAACTCCAGAGAGATGTCATCCATTTTTCTGATATATTTTTGCTGAACTTTTTGGTTCTGCTGCTGCCCCGACCTCATTTTTGCTCGTTAGCGCCGAAGAAGAAATCAGACGTCGGCGCGATCCGAACCTGCTACTAAAATAAATGTAAATGTAGAAATCAATTTATTTTGTCTGCTGGCGGAACAGCGGATCCGGACCGGCTCTGGCTCTCAGCGGAGCTACTGTAGTTTACTGCTGCTGTAATCAGCAGGTGGTGCATCTTTAGGAGCGAGTCCACTCCTTAACTCCAGGAGGTGGCTGATAAATGTCTGTCAGCCTCCACTGGTGAGCCACTGAAAGGACAATCTGTACAAATAAAAGATGCAGATTTTATTTGCATATACAGTGTACGTACTGTGCTTTAACACTATGACGCTAAAATGTCTTTAAACTGAGAAGAGAAAGTACTTGACGGTATCGATATGAATATAATATTAATATTAATATGGCGGTTGAAGCTGAACCCACAAATGAGATTAATGTTATTTTTGCTATTGTGATGTTATGACTCCATCAAGCCCCATAAATATAATCCTACAAGCTATTATTGGAAAATGTGTGTTCAAATTTTCTAATCCTCCATTTCCCCCTGAATACATTTGACATTAACGTTCATTCTTAAGTCTTTGCTGTTCATCCAGAGGCGCCTCCTAGAAGTGGACGCCCCCAATAAGAAAAAAAACCCCGAATATTTTCAAAATGGCGGTTTGTGTTGCTGGTTTTACATATGTGCCTACGGTTACAGGGCGGTTGTTTTTCATCAGAAGACAGATTTCCTGAGCTCTACGACCATCACCTCGGTGTGTTTTAAGTTGCACCTTGTCTCTCTCGTGGAATGTCTCCTTTTCCTTTTTTCCCATGTGAATCCTTTACCTACAATCAGCAGCGTCGACACTGATGGACTCGGTTCTGTCCTCGTGGTGTGAAGGAGGTTTTTTCGTGATCTGCAGCCATATTTAAAGAAAAACAAACTCATATTTCCCCTGAAGTTTTGAGTAGATGTGAAATTTGTTTCTTTTTAAAGAGGATTTTAAAGAGTGACTTTAAAACAGGTTAAAAAGCTTTTTTTTCTCTCTTTATGGTTAAAAGTTTCAGGCCTGTTGCACCGACCTGTGAAGGCCGGTTGTGGTTAAAAACGTCTGTAACCACGTTAACGACGACGTCACAGAGCGCGGTGGTTGCTTGTTAACACACCCGTTTGCATGAAAAGACTCGAGTCAGAAGGTTTTCTTACGTTTGATAGCCGGTACCGTGTGATTAAACAGCATTTAAACAACAAACCAGGTTATTGGACAGGATGCATTCTAACGCATCCACAGTTTATTCGTCCTAAACAACCTTCCTTATTACTCTTAAACCATCATTAACGACGCCGTGCCTCTCTCGAAGCCGCCACCACCTACTGCCATCACGGTCGGTTTGTGTCTCGTCATTGAAAGTTGTGCTGCTGTCCGGCTGGTTGTTTCCCTGCATTAAACTCCGTCATCGCTCTGGAATGGCAACGAAGCTTTGGGGTGATGAAAGAAACAAGAATTCACATATTAAAACCATGAAACCCTTTACAAGCTGTCTCCTGTCTCTCTTTGTTATGTGCTTCAACACAACACATTTCAGGGTGTTTACATGCGGTGTGGCCTCTTGATTACACTTCCTACTTATTCAACTCATAACGCCTACCGTCTACTGACTCGTATATGAAACCTACTTGACAATAAAACACAAAAACATGTATTATTACTGTAATGAGGCCACTTTAAAAACCACACACATGCTTACTGGTTTATCCTCATAATAAAAACAGGTGATTGTCAGCCAGATGTATGAATGTGTTTCACAATGGCCAGCAGGTGGCGCCATCTGTTAAACAAGAAGTAAGCTCCGTTGCTAATCATTGCAATTAATTAGGGTCCGAGCACCCAAAAGGGTGACTTTTTTTTATTGAGGCCCAAATACATAATGTGTTTTTTTTCAGGAAGTACCTTCCTAAGCTG